GCTGCTGCACTTCTGCAGGGCCCCCCCACTGGCATTTTGCTGCTGCAGTGCAGCGTTGCTGTGCACCCCACATCTTCTTCAGCGAAGCCGCAGCAGCTGTAGCTGCTGCTGCCCCCCGCGCTGCTGCTGCTGCTCTTGAGGTACCCCGGATGCACATAACAGAGTGGCACGTCCTTCATGGCCCCGAGGGGGCCCCCCTGAGGGGCCCCCCCGGGAGCCCCCCTGGGGGGCCCCCCAGGGGCCCCCTGGGGGGCCCCCCCTGGCAGCCGCGAGGGGGGCCCCCTTTGAGGCAGATCTGCGTACAGCTGGGAGTCATAGAGAGAGCCGCAGCGGCTGCACTTGTCTGGCCAAGGCAGCAGCAGCAGCCGGAACTCCCTGCGCAGCAGCCGTTCTGCTGCTGCTGCAGTGGTGTGGGGCCCCACAGCTGCATGCGCTGCATGCAGCAGCAGCTCTTTGTCTATTTCCCCGGTCCTTAAGTAAGTTAATATGATGGAAAAGACTTCGGGCTGGCAGTCCAGCACCAGGCGAGGGACCCCCTGCTGCTGCTGCTGCTGCTGCTGCAGCTGCTCCAGCTGCTGCAGCAGCGCAGGGCACTTCGAGGCTGTCTCCCACGTGGCGTGGAACAGACGTGGGCCCACCTGAACTTCGACTAGACTCTGCTGCTGGGGCTGCACACCAGCTGCGGCTGTTGCTGCAGCAGCAGCAGCAGCTGCTGCTGCTGCTGCTGCCTCTGCTGCGGGGCTGCTGGTGGCGGGACTAATGGGGGACGCAGAGGGTGTGATGCTGCTGTCCCTGCTACGGCTGCTGCGGCTTCTGGGGCTGCTCTTGAGGCTGCTGACATCGCCGCTGCAGCTGCTGCTGCTGCCGCCGTTGCAGCTGCTGCTGCTGCTGCGTTTGCTGCATCTGTTGCTGTCGTTGCTTCCGTCGCTGCTTGGGGCGTCACAGATGCGAGGCTGCCCCAGCTGCACCTCCTGCTGCAGCAGGAAGAGTGTCTGCTGCTTCTGCTGCTCCTGAGCCTCGTGAGCCACCATGTTGCTGCTGCAGCAGGGGCCCGCAAGACAAGAAAACAGCAGCCACGGGGGAACAGCAAGGAGCTGCTAAATGAAGCTGCTGCTGACGGCTGGGAGTTCTAAAAGACAAAGAAAAAGAAATAAATGAATAAATAAGAGGAAAAATGAGCGAGAAACACAAATAAGAACAGCAAGAGGCAGCGAACTGCTGCTGGCCTGCGTCGATTCAAGAGCTGCTGCTCTGCGTTCGGGGGCAGCTGGGGCGCCTCATGAAAAAAGAAATAGAAATAAATGAAGTGGAAAACTAAAAATAAGTACCTAGTTGGAATTCAAAGTAGATATACACCTACACCGCAATCGATTGCGGCATTGCGTTCGGGAGCTTCCTCCCCTGTCTTCTCTTTGCCTGCTGCGGGCCCCCGGGCCCCTGTCAGTTCATTTACTGAAAGAAAATAATAAAGTATTTAAATATGCTTTTTGTCAATGCACAAAGAAGCAAAATTTGCTGCTGTTTAAGCCGAGACCAAGGGGCCCCTGGAGTGCCGCGAGGGCCCCCTGCCCCCCTCAGCAGCAGCAGCAGCGTCTGTGTTTGCCAGCTCCAGCCTCTTTTGACTTAAAAAGGAATATTTATTTAATTTAAATATTAATTTAAGAATTATTGGCATATTTTAGCGCGAAATGGCTGCGCTGGGGGGCCCCTTCGGGGGTTTCTGTTTGTCTCAGCCGCAGTTTCAGGCTCAGCTGCTGCTGCTTGTTTGCTTCGAGTTCTTTCTGTGTACCTACTCTATTAGCCCGATTAGCTGCATCTGGCCCTTCACCGCGCCACTGGCTGCTAGGGTTTAGGGTTTTTCTAGGGTTTAGGGTTTACGCTCGGCCCTTGCTAGCTAGGGTTAAGCTTCCTAGAGACAACTCCGCAGCAGCAAAAGGAAATAAACTGAGCTGCTGGAGCAAAACTTATTAATTAATTTCAGAGACAAAGTGAAGCTGCTGCGAGGCCCGGAAGCACGAGGTGTACGTACACCCCAGCTTCGCAGCAGGTACAGACATGCTCTCAACTCCGTCTCGTTTTACTTTTTTTTAAATCTTTTGCTGCTCACAACTCCTAATGTTTTGGACGCAAACGCTTTTGCTGCAGCTGCTTCAAGCCGCTGTCTGGGGCCCCTAGGATGCCTGTACACCTCCCGTGTGGCGGCTGCCTTTCTCTGTCTTTTGCTGCTCTTGGCTGCTGCAGTTTCTTTCATTATATTTTTTCTATTTTGACTTTTCTTTTCTTTTCTGCTGCTGCAACCCTCAATGTGTCTTCAAATATTTAAAATTAATCCATTCGGAGTCAAGTGCTGCTGTCAAATTCGCCTTCGCCCATCAGCAGCAGCAGAGCGCTGGGCGAAAAAGACCCAAAACTGCAGCAGCAGCCGCAGCATGTGCTGCTGCTGCTGCTAAGTCTGCTGCTGCTGCTGCTGCTAAGCCTGCTGCTGCTGCGGCTACTTCTCTTTCCTATGTGCACCCTCTTTTTGTCTTTCGACTTCCTCCATAACTGCCAAGAGGGGAGGCAAGTGAGGTCTTCGTTTTTTCTGCCGCTGCTCCTGCTGCTGCTCCTGCTGCTGCAGCTGCTGCTGCTGCTGCTGCGTGGGGGGCCCCCTTGAATGCACCCCTGTGTGCCGCAGCGCAGCAAGCGTCAGCAGCAGCGCCTCTTCAGTTCTTATAGTTCGCGAAGACTGAAGAGGACAAGTATTAACATAAGAATCAAAAAGGCATTCAGGGGGTACTGCTGCATCTGTACCCTCTCTGAGGGGCCCTAGGGGGCCCCCGGGGGCCCCCTGGTGCCCCAGGGCCCTGCAGGCACGCCGCAGGTCCGATGAGGGGGGCCCCTTCGAAGGGCAGGGGGGCCCCTCAGCAGCACAGAAGCTAACAGCAGCACGAGCTGCTGCTGCTGCTATGCCACTTTGAGGGTCCCTTAGAACTGCCTCTAAGCCGCTGAGGCCCCCGAAGACCAGCAGCAAATGGCTGCAGCAAAAAGACACAAGAAATGCACACATAGTTGAGGTTTGCTGCTAGCAGCAGCAGCAGCAGCAAGAACAACTGCAGCAGTCGCAGCAACTTGAGCAGCAGCAACTTTTTTTTAACAGCCTTATATATACAACTTATTCGCTCCACTTAAATGAATAGTCATATCTAGACAAATATAAATGTAAATTAATACCTAATCCACACATGCACAGAAATGCATATATGTATGTAAAAGAAAATCGGTTTATATATAGAGAGGCATAAATGCATTAAACGCAGTATAAAATTTTGTATTTAAACACATTTACATGCATGCATATAAATGCGTACAGTTGCTGCAGCAAATATGTACTTGCTGCAGCAAACATATTCGTTTACTGCTGCTTCTGCTGCTGCCTTTGGCATATTTCACTAATGTAATTTGATTGCTCCTTTATAATCTTTATTATTTATTTATTTAATAATATTTCTTTATTTATTGAATATCCATTTAGCACGTATAGACGCAGCTGGGGCCCCGCTGCTGCAGCTGCGCCTCAGCAGCCACGGGGGCCCCCACGTAACTGTGGGAGAGCTTAGAGGCAGAAATAATATTAATAATATATATTAAAAGTGTTTTATAAAACATATAACTACTTTAGTATGAAAATACGAATAAATATAGTTCATACAAAATTTAATATATATATTACATTGGGTTCAAATGTGAATTCAATTGGCACTTCTCGAAATCCTAATATGTTTTCTATTTCTTCCCTTTTAACTCAGCGAAGACCATTAGTTTGCTGTGGAGCCGGGCAGCAGCAGCAGCAACGTAGAGTCCCGCGCTGCTGCTGCTGCTGCTGCAGCTGCCGCAGCTGCTGCAGTGGCTACTGCACTGTACCTGTAGCTGCCGTGCTGCATGCTCATGGCTGCTTGCTGCAGCGGGACTCCCCTTTCAGAAGTTCCCACAATGCAGTCATAAAGCCCTTCTCTCTTGAGTTCTTTGTCTTTACTTTTGTTATCTGCTTCTTGACTTTTGCTGCTCTTTTTGCTGCTGCTCAGATTGTGGCCTCTAAACACCTCCCGCAGAGAACTCGCAGCGCGAACTTGATAGCCCCAGTACAGCCCTGGGCGCAGCAAGCATACAGATGGACTGCTGCTGCTGCTGCTGCTGTAGCAGCTGCAGCAGGCGCTAGTGTTGCTGCTGTAGAAGCTACTAATGCTACTAATGCTGCTGCTGCTGCCGTGGCGGCAGCTTCGCTGCGGCAGCCACAATTCCCTCTCGCTACAGAAATACGCAAAAGGGCTTCGCAGCAGCAGAAGGCGCAGCAGCAGCAGCAGCAGCAAAAACAGCAGCAGCAGCAGCGATGCTAGCAGCAGCCACTGCGCACACCTCAGCGGCAAGACCAGCAGGTGGCTGCTTGCCGCCAGCAGCTGCTTCCCTCCAATTGCCAAAATGGAATATTGGAATTGTTTTATATTTTTAAAGTCAATTTAAATTAATAAAACTATTTACCTGCTAGAGTCGGAGGCTCTTGAGGAGAAACTGCTTCTCCCCGCAAAACGAATTTGCGCTGAGACGGCAGCAGCCGGTTCAAGTCGCCAGCAGTGCGCAGCGAGGGGTGCAGCCGCAGCGTCACCCTGCAGCACAAACCCTAAACCCTAAACCCTAAACCCTAAACCCGAATCCCCGGGGAATAGCCCTCAGCGCTGCTGTGCAGCGCCACGCAAAAGGCACAGGGTCCTAGCAGCTCGCAAAAGGAAGAAAACGCAAAGCCACCGTGGAACACAAACCCCAAGCCCTAAACCCTAAACCCTAAACCCTAAACCCTAGACAGCTACACTGCAAGTCCTGAAAACCAGGGAAAAACCCCTCGCCGTGTAAGCCCTGGCCAGAGGAACATCGACCCATACCCCCAAACCCAAAACCCCAATTCTGAACCCTCAGCCCCAAACCCTAAACCCTAAACCCTAAACCCTAATTCGCCCTGGGAGCCCCCGGGGTGCTCCGTGGTCCGCGCTGCTGACCTTGTGCCCACGGGGATTTGCTGCTGACATGCAACGGGAAAAAGAAGGCCACAATCCACAAGGGTCCCCCCTTGGGACTTTTCTAAAGAAACTCCTTCTCTATAAGGAAGCCATTCATCGCGGCGCAGGTGGTGCGGCGCGTCTAGGGGGTTCTGCAGGCCCGCGTGCTTCAGGTCTAGGGTTTAGGGTTTAGGATTTCGCGAAGACCACGCCGCAGCAGCACACGCAACCCACAGCAGCAGCAAATACGCACTCATGAACACATATAAACACCAGACGCAGCCAAGCCAACAACGAAACTGGCACAACTGACAATTCAAAAGAAGGTAAGAAGACAAAAAGAAAATGCTATTCAATCCAACCCCTCCTTTTTACTCTTAGGGCCCCCAGAGGCCCCGGGATAGGGCCCCCTAGCAGGTGACTAAGGGGCCCTTGGGACATGGTCGGGGACCCCCGCAGCGGCAGCCTTGGGGGCCCCCTCAGGACCCCTGGGGACCCTCGCTCTGGTCTAGAGGTAGCAATGGGGGCCCCCGAAGGGCCCCTGGGGGGCCCCCGTGGCCTAGCGGGAGCCTTGGGGGGGCCCCCGCAGGGCTTCTGGGGCCCCTCCCCAAGGGCACCTGGGGGCCCTCCCAGGCCTAGCGGTAGCCTTGGGAGGCCCCTGGCTCTGCTGCAGTGCTTGCCTGGGTGCAGCTTGAAAAGCCGTTTTCTAAGGAACTGAGGAGTTTCTAAATATTGTAGATTGCGAACAAAGAAGTCCAAAGAGGGAGAGCGACCCGTCGATGGGTCTATGGCAGACGCTGCAGGCACACACGCTAAACCCTAAATCCTAAACCCTAAACCCTTAACCCTAGGCCGCATGCACAATCAAAACACCAACTGCGAAGGCGAAATCGCGCTATAGGGAGGCACTGGGGGCCCCCGTAACTCTGAGGGTCCCCCTAGCTCTGGGGGCCCCCTAGCTCTGGGGGCCCCCTAGCTCTGGGGTCCCCCGTAGCTCTGAGGTCCCCCAAACTATGGGGCTCCCACAGCTCTGGGGGCCCTCAAAGCTTTGGGGGCCCCTTGAGAGGATTGTTGCTGCAGGCTTACCGCAGTCTTCATAGACAATTACTTCATCAACACCCATAACTGTCAAAGACCTGGCAATGCAGCCCACCAAGGCGGCCCTCAGCTCTGCAGACTGAAACACCAAACCCTAAACCCTAAACCCTAAACCCTAAACCCTGAAGCGCCGGGCACAGAGCATCTCGGCGAAACAACAAGATAAGAATAGGGAGTGTAAGAAAAGCAGATGGCGGTAGAGAGCCGGTGACACAGAGCCAGGCAGGTGTACGTACACCTTAGCAGCAAGAAATATATTTCATTTTAAGAGTTTCTCATTTAGCTAAAACGCTAAGAACAAGGGCCAATGCATGCAGCAGAGGCCACGAAAAACAGAAACAACTCTGCACGGAAATCCGTGCATTTTGCAATCACCTCGGGACCAGATAAGGAGCCCCAACTGAATCATAAATGAAGAACTAAAGAGACGCAATTGGGGAAAAAGAGAAGACGAAAAATAAATAGAAATGGGCAGAGACAGGTAATGTAAAGGGATGAAACTGAAAAGGAAATTATAAATTAGAAAAGGTGATATTTGGGATAAAAATATGAAATGAAAATAAACGAAGACAGGTAAGGCAAAAGGATGAAATAGATGAAAAGAAGCAAAATTTAAAAGAATGAAATCGATAAAGATGTGCAAAAGTAGAAGAATAAAAATGAAGCAAGAACGGAAAAGGGAAAAGACACAGCCCCTAGGGGTAAATGCAAAGAAGCGTAAAAACAAAGAAAGTGGGTCTTAAGTGCAGCAGCGCATGCAAACCTTCCATCTTTTCTTCTCACGCACGCAAATTTGGTAAAAAATAATAGAAAATAACAATAAAAAGAGAAAAGAAAGGACTAATTTATTCGAAAAGACGGAAAGGAAAACAAAACAAAGAAAGTCAAGAGCCGCAGCGTCTTGGCGCCCCGCCCAGGTGTCTGTGCATACACCTGAAGGCCGTGGAACCCGCAAAAGACTCAGCATTTTATTTTTCCATTTTTTTCTTTTTGCTTACTTGTGCATTGGCCACTATGGAAGCCGGCAAAGCCACGCTGAGGGTCGAGACGCGGGGGGCCCCCTCAAAGGGTATTTGCTGCAAAGGCAGCAGCAGCACAGGGGCCCCCCAATAAGACACAGAAACCCTTCAGGGTTTTATTTTGCTTTTTCTGAAACTTGCAGCAGCATATTACGGTTTGGGGGGCCCCCCTGGCCCCTGAGGGCTCTTGGGGGGCCCTTTAGAACTTACTTTGGGGATAAATTCGAGAGACTTCTGAAAGGCTTCGTTGGGGACCCACTCATCTGTGTCGGCACTGCAGAAAAAGCCCCAAAAATGCATGCATGCGTAAATGCATGCGGCGGGCGCATGCAGCGAGAGGCCCTTGGCAGGAGGCGCTGGGGATTAATTAATTAGTTGAGTTTGAATAAAATGGACTTGTTGAATTGCGAAAGAAAAAAATGATTAAAAAAAGAAGACAAAGACAGAGGCAATTAGCAGCACTCGGTGATCAAACAAGAAGGCCATCTTCGGGCAACAGAAGGGCCCCAGCAACCCCCAGGGGAGCAGACTCTAGGGTTTACGGTTTAGGGTTTAGGGTTTACGCCTTTAGGAACAGCCAGGCAACGCAGAGATAGTCAAACTCACTCGCATGCCCCGCCGCCTGCAGCTTTTTGTGGGGCCCCCTGGCTTTCGTGGGCGCCCAAGCCCTCGGGGGGCCCCAAACCCTCGGGGGCCTCCAAACCCTCGGGAGCCTCCGGACCTTCGGGGGCCCCCAAACCCTCGGGGGTCCCCAAACCCTCGGGGGCCCCATGACCCTCGGGGGCCCCCGAGCCCCGATTTTTGGACTCTTTCCGTCTCCTTCTGGGGGCCCCTAGTGAAGCCTCTGGCTCTTCAGGCTGAGCCAAAGCTTCCTTGCATCTTTTGGGGGCCCCTCCCCTACCCATTTGCTTGTCTGTTTGCGGGGGCCCCCGTGGCTGTCGAAGTGACCTGGCTTGCGGTCGTAGGAGGCCCCAGAAGGCGTAGTTTAAGCTTAAAGGGGGTCTCAGGGACCCCAAGATACAAATATATTCTATAAAAGGATTATTTTGATGTGTAAAGGCGTTATAATTGGGTTTAAGGGGCCTCTTGCCAGTTAGCTGTCGGCCCCACAGGAAGGCCTCGGGGCCCCTGGCGGCGGCGTCGCCGGGAGGGCGGAAGAGGCCTTTTTTGCTGGTTTTTTGGGCAAATTGTGTGTATTTAAAATTAAATAAAAAACACAATTAAATGGAATTAAAATTGAACTATTGTGGGGCGAAGACGGGAAAAGAGAGGGCAGCAGGGCCGACGGCTGCGGTGGTGAGCTCTCTCCCTCCCTGCGGCGTGGCTGTCACGTGGGGCATCGCTGGCTGGCGTTGGTTTGCTGTCTGCGCGTTTCAGTTTGTTTTTTTAAACAACAAAAATTCCAAAGACAAGTTTAATTTAGGTTTTAAAGTGCATTTTGATTGACACCGGCGGTCTCCGCGTTGAAAATGGCGCCCTCGAACCCCCCCCCGTGCAGCAGCAGCAGCAGCAGCAGCAGCAAGGTGAAAGACCTGACGCTTGCTGCCTTCGGCCGCAAGGAAATTCGGCTTGCAGAAGCAGAAATGCCCGGACTTATGGCTCTGAGAGAAGAGCTGGGGCCCCGCAAGCCGTTGCAGGGAGTCCGCATCACTGGCTCGCTGCACATGACTGTACAGACAGCTGTGCTCATTGAAACCCTCACCCACTTGGGCGCCACTGTCCGCTGGTGTTCCTGCAACATCTTCAGCACTCAGGACCACGCAGCAGCAGCAATAGCTGCTGAGGGTTCCGCCACTGTCTTCGCCTGGAAAGGTTAGTTGCTGCGCCGCTCCCTCCCCAGCTAGCCACGCAGCTGGCTAGCTGGCTGGCTGGCTAGCCACACACTTGCGCTACACACTCAGTAGGCCGGGCAGACAGCGGGAAATCCGCACGGTTAGGCTGTTTGCTGCTGCTGCAGCAGGGCCGCAGCAGCGCAGCTCCTGCTGCAGCTGGCCTTTCGCCGCAGCAGCAGCTACCTGTGGTTGACCAGTGCAGCAGCAGCGCGTGTTTCCCCATTTCCCCCGACGGCTGGCGCGCGCCTGCCCGCGGCCGCGGCCGCCGCTGCTGCTGCTGACCCGCTGCTGCTGCTGCTGCTGTTGCTGCTGCAGGTGAAACGGTGGAGGAGTACTGGTGGTGTTCGGAGCAGGCGCTGACTTGGCCGGACTGCGCAGGCCCGGACTTGCTGGTGGACGACGGGGGGGACATAACAATGCTGATTCACGAAGGAGTGCATGCAGAGGAGGTTTACGAGTCCTCCGGAGTGCTGCCGGAGGTGTCTGCTGCAGCAGACGAGGAAGCAGCAGCAGTGCAGCAGCTGCTGCGGCGGAGCGTGGCTGCGGCGCCGCGGAAGTGGCGGCAGCTGGCCGCGGGCGTGCGGGGCGTCAGCGAGGAAACCACCACGGGGGTGCTGCGGCTGCTGCGGCGCGCTGCAGCAAATCTGCTGCTGTTTCCCGCAATGAATGTAAACGATTGCGTCACAAAAAGCAAATTTGATAATGTGTACGGCTGCAGACACTCTTTGCCCGACGCAATCATGAGAGCCACCGACGTGATGCTGGGCGGGAAGCTGGCGGTGGTGTGCGGCTACGGCGACGTGGGCAAAGGCTGCGCTGCAGCACTTCGCGGCCAAGGCTGTCGAGTTATAATTTCAGAAATAGACCCAATTTGTGCACTGCAGGCTGCAATGGAGGGTTTCGGGGTGTTGCCGCTGGACGCGGTGGTGGGGGTGGCGGACTTGTTCGTGAGCGCCACTGGAAACAAGGACATTATCATGCAAAAGCACATGCAAAAGATGAAAAACAACGCAATTGTTGGAAACATTGGCCACTTCGACAACGAAATCGATGTCAGGGGCCTCAAAGCCACCCCTGGCATCCAGTGCGAAAACATCAAACCCCAAGTCGACAGGTACATCTTCCCCGACGGCCACGCCATCATTCTTCTTGCAGAAGGAAGACTTATGAACCTCGGATGCGCCACTGGACACCCTTCTTTCGTCATGTCTTGTTCTTTTTCCAATCAAGTGCTGGCCCAGGTGGCTCTCTGGGAAGCCGCGGCCCGCAAGACCTACGCCAACCAGGTGTACAGACTCCCCAAACACCTCGACGAAAAAGTTGCTGCTCTCCATCTCCCGGCCCTCGGCGCCAAACTCAACCGCCTTTCTCAAGAACAAGCCGACTACCTCGGCGTCAGCCAGGACGGGCCCTTCAAGTCCGACGACTACAGGTACTAGCTGCAGCCTCCTGCAGCAGCAGCAGCGGCAGCAGCGGTTGCTGCGGGCGGCTGCTGCAGCGGGCGGGTGGCTAGCTGGCTGCGTACGTGTTGAAGAAGACGGGGAGGCGCCTGGAGGCCGGGCTGCTGCTACGTTTCTGGAATTGTTTATTTGTTTAAGTTTGTGGAATTTCTTATTTAGTTTAATTGATTATTATGCAGCTGCCAGCACAGACAGCTGCTCCATTATATCTTTACTCTGCCGTTCCTTGAACGGCCTCCAAGACAAATTTATTTTTGGCCCCGCCGGCTCTGCTGCCGCTGCTGGCCAACTAGCTCAGTAGCTAGCTGGCTAGCTGCCTGCAGCTGCACTAGCTAGCTGCCAGCTGCCTAGCTAGCTGCCTGCAGCTGAGGCCAGCCAGCTGGCGAGCCGCTGCAGGCCAGCAACAAGCAACTGTTTATACAGCTGCGCGCGCTTAATGCTGAATGTCTTTCCTACTGCTGCTGTTGCTGCTGCTGCTGCAGAGTTGCTTCAAGTCTAGCAGTAAGCCAGAGGAAACTGTTTGGGGGCATTGCAGCTACAGTGTCGGCCTCTCCTGGTTAGGGTTTAGGGTTTAGGGTTGGGGGTTTTGTTAGGTTCAACGAGCTTGCATTGCTCAACCAAGTTCAGCTTATTAGCAGCAGCTGCAGCAACTGCAGCAGCTGCTGCCAACAAACCGCATTCAGCTGCAGCCAGTTAGCCAGCAGCAGCTTCAATTTATGCAGATTCCCCACACCCCACTGCTGCTTCTTGAGGGGCCCTTATTGCTGCTTCTTTATTTGTTTCCACTTGCACGTTTGCTGCTTCTCCCGCACCTTTGGGGTGTACAGACACCCCGCTCCTGCTGCTGCTGCTCACCAGCACCCACTGCTGCGACAGCCGCGCCGGCAGCCACAGGAGGCCCCTGGGGCCCCCCTTGGGGGGACCCCTAGGGACCCCCAGGGCGGCCCCCATAGGGGCCCCAAGGGGGGCCCCTGGGGGGCCCCCATCGACACTAGGGGCCCCTTCCGGTGGCATATCTGGGGGGGAAGAGTTCGTAGTGAACTCTTGCTGAATCTCTTGCAGCAAAACGGGACCAATGAGAGCTGCTGCTGCTGCTCTTGACAGCACCTGAGACAGCAGCAGCATGCACTTCAACAAGACAATGAGTTCAGACTAATTTGGGGCTTTTTGTTTATTTATTTCAATTTTATTTTAATTCTATTTGAATATTTAGATGGGACGCGCAGCTGCCAGACGCCAGGGCTGCTCGCAATTAATTGCTGCAGGATCTTTTGAACTAATGGGACGCAGGCTGCTGCTGCTGCTGTTGCTGCTGCTAAACACTGAAGAGCCGAAGCAGCAAAGCAGCGGCAAAGCAGCAGCAAAGCCAGCAGCAGCGGCAACAAGCAGCAGCGGTGGTAGCAATAGATGCAGTAACAGCAGCAACGGCAGCAGCAGCAACACATATGCTAGCAGCACCAGCAACAGCAGCAGCAGCAGCTAAAATCGTTTACTTGGTGGGCCAAATCCTCGTCAGCCTGCAGCAATTCAGCGGTAGGCTGCAGCAGCAAAACGCTGCGGAAGGTCGCAAAAAAGTGCGCAGCAACTTTAACACTTCCCAGAAGCTCCGAGATTCCCTGCTGCTGCTGCTGCTGCTGCTGCTTCTGCTGCTGCTGCTGCTGCTCCTGGTCAAGAGGGGCGGCGTAGTGGTCAGGTAGAAGCAGCCTGTAACAATTCACTCAGAAGCCGCATAGTTCTGCGGCTGAGGCTCGCCTTGCCCTCGCAGCAGCAGCAGCCGCAGCAGCAGATAAGCAGCAGCAGGAAACAGCAGCAGCAGCAGCCCGTCGCCACCGTAGCAGCAGATTCAGCACGCCCAGCAGCAACAGCAGTTAGACACACGCGAATGGAGTAGCCGAATGGACTGCTGCGAGCAGAGGGCCCCCCTCTATCAGTGGTTCCGTTGTCGGTATCTGCTGCTGCTGCCTTTGCTGTTGCTGTTGCTGCTGCTGCTGCTGCCCCTGCCCCATCGCCTGCTCGAGACGCCGCTGCTGCACGCAGCAGCTAAGCACAATGTCAGTCGCGTTAGGAGCTTCTTCGTCCTGCTGTTCCTGCTTCGGCAGCTGCTGCTGCTCCCCCTGCTGCTGCTGCTGTTCCCCTTGATGCTGCTGCTGCTGCTGCTGCTGGGGAGCGCGGTTGTCAGGGCGCAGCAGCAAAGACAAGGAGGGACAGGCGAAGGCCTTCATTGCTGCAGCAAAGGAGACGCCGCCGCCGTGGGTGCGGGAGGAGACTGCGAGCAGCTGCAGCGCGCAGCAGACTCTTGCTGCTGCTGCCCACACATTCCACAGGTCTTCAGCAGCAGCGCCCTCTGCAGCTTCTGCTGCAGCCCCTGCTTCCTCGCTGCTGCTGCTGCTGCTGCTGATTCTCTTGCTGCGGCTGCCACCACAGATATCTGTGGGAAGAAGTTTCAGGGAAATGAGGGCCTCCACTGTTCTTGGAAGGCTCCACGAAGGTGGGCCTGCTGCTGCTGCTGCTGCTGCTGCTGTTGCGGTTGATAGTCCTGCTTCTGCTGCTGCTGCTGGAGTTCTCTCCGTTTCTCTTAGCCCCCTGCAAATGGCGGTCAGGAGCTGCTGCAGTCCATCAGCACCTGCACCAGCAATAATAGCAGCAGCAGCAACAGACAGCAGCAATGAAAGCAGGCCCCTGCTGCTCGTGGCTCCACAACTTGGCTGCTGCTGCTGCTGTTGCAGCATTGCAATAAGCAGAAGCAGACACTTTATTAGGAGGGCCCAAGGCAGCAGCAAGGGCAGCAGCAGCGGCAGCAACAGGAGCAGCAGCAGCAGCAGCAGCAGCCGGCTGCAGTGTTACCCTTGCATGCGCGTTGGTTTATTTTTACTGTTTCTCTGGTGAAGTCCTTTTCAATTTGTTTTATGTCAAGAGGAGACAAATCGCAGGGGCCCAAAGTCTCAAAGACAACAGGCATCGCCTGCAGCCGCTCCCTGCAGCAGCAGCAGCAGCAAAAGCAGCAGCAGCCTTGTAAGACACGCAAAAAAGAGGCACTTACGGGAAAAGCGAAACCCACCAATAGGCTTCCAGACTCTGTGCTGCTGACGGCTGCAGCGACGGCGAAGCGCCAGCAGCAGCGCCTATGCAGATGCTGCTGCTTAGGGACTCTTCCAGCTGCTGCTGCAGCTGCAGCTGCTGCTGCTGCTGCTGCAGTTGCTTTTCGGCGGCTCGCGACCATATATTCAGCTGGCGCTGCAGCAGCGCAGAGAATCCGCAGAACTAGCACCATCACTATGCCGCTGCTGATACGCTGCAGCAACTGCTGCAGCAGTTGCTGCTGCAGCGGAGCCAAAGTCATCACTATCAGCAGCAGCCGCAGCAGCAGCAGCAGCAGATAGCGAAGTGCCAACAGCAACAACAGGAGCAGCCGGAGCAGCTGCTGCAAAGGCAGCAGAAGGTGGCGGAAAGCAACAGCAGCAGCAGCTGCAGCGCACTCAAAAGCAGCAGCAACAGCAGCAGCAGCAGCGGTCTGTTGGTGTTCATGAGAAACACACCTTAGGGTGTACGGACGCACAAGCAGCCAAGAGGTTCAGGCGAAGCAGCTCGCACTCGAGACACGCTGTCAAGATCTGCAGCACACAGGACAGCAGCAGCTGCTGTTTATGCTGCTGCTGCTGCTGCTGCCGCTGCTGTTTGGGTGACTTTTGTTGCTTCTGCTGCTGCTGCTGCTGCGACTGCTGCTGCTGTGGCGGCTGCTGCTACGGGGACACCGGGGCTGCATGCAGCTCGGACCTGCTGCAGCACTTGCTGCCGC